ACTTGGCATAATACGGCCATCTAGTAGCCCACGGGCATCTCCGTTACACATGGTACTAAAAAAGAACGGAGAGTACAGACCATGTGGAGATTACCGAGCACTCAATAAACAAACTGTGGCAGATAGATATCCAGTGCCACATATCCACGACATGACTAACAATATGGAAGGCGCCACTATCTTTTCGAAAATTGACCTCGTTAGGGCTTATTAGCATATTCCCGTGGCGCATGAGGATATACCGGAAACGGCTGTAATCACTCCATTCGGATTATTCGAATTTTTGCGAATGCCGTTCGGATTAACTAATGCCGCTCAAACCTTCCAGAGATTCATCGATCAGGTTGTTAGAGGTTTGTCAGGCGTATATGTGTACATCGACGATATACTTGTAGCTAGTGCTACACCGGAACAACATCTACAACAATTAAAACAGTTGTTCAATAAACTTCAAGAACACGGTATTGCCATCAACGTTAAGAAATGTGAATTTGGTAAGAAATCACTGCAATTTCTAGGACACATAATAAATTCTCAAGGTATCACACCAGTCCCATCAGAAGTTGCAGCTATTCGTGACTATCCGTTGCCCGAAACAAAGAAGAAATTACGACGATTTCTCGGACTAATTAACTACTATAGACGATTCATTCCGAACTGCGCGGCAATATTGCAACCGTTAACAGACGCTTTGCGTGGACGTGCCAGAACATTTCACTTGTCACCAGACGCCATAGAGGCATTCGAGAACGCTAAACGCGTGCTAAATGAAAAGACAATATTGGTACGACGAAAAAACGAAGCACCATTACCTGTCATGACTGACGCGTCGAACATCGCTGTTGGAGCCGTGTTACAGCAGTTCGTAAACGACACATGGGAACCGATTTCATTCTTTTCTAAAAGACTAAGTCCCACGCAAACGAGATACAGCACGTTCGGAAGAGAACTGCTTGCAATTTATTTGACAATAAAGCACTTTCGACATATGCTTGAGGGTACCATCTTCACAGTGTACACAGATCATAAACCCCTCACGAAAGCATTAAACGCCAAGAACGACAACTATTCGCCGAGGGAAATTCGACAATTGGAGTTTATTTCCCAATTTACTTCTGACATACAATATAATAAAGGCCATGCTAACGAAGTAGCAGATGCATTATCAAGAACGATGATTAACGCTCTCATCCAAACCGACATTGATTATCATAAACTAGCAGCGTTGCAAAATATGGACGTAGAGCTAAATAGACTAAGATCATCCAATACAACTTCTTTAGTATTCCGAGAAACTCCGTTCGGCAAAGTGAACATAATCTGTGATATTTCTACAGGCAGACCACGACCGTTTATTCCGAAGCCGTTTAGACGAAAAGTTTTCGAAACTATGCATAATATATCACATCCTGGAATTGGGGCAACGATTAGTCTGATCAGCGACCGTTTCGTATGGCCAAATATGAACCGAGATGTTCGCAACTGGACACAGGCATGTATTAAATGCCAGAAAGTTAAAGTTCATCGTCACACAAGTTCCGCAGTAGGTTCATTCCGTCACCCAGACAGCCGATTCGAGCACATACATATCGATATTGTGGGACCACTGCCAATTTCGAATGGCTTCAATTATATTTTTACCTGCATAGACAGATTTACGCGATGGCCTGTAGCGGTGCCCATAAAAGATATTTCAGCAGAGACCATAGCTAAAACCTTAGTGGAACATTGGATCTCATATTATGGAGTCCCTGCTCATATCACAACCGATAGAGGAGCCCAATTTGAAAGTCGCCTCTTTCAACAACTCAGAGAGCTCCTCGGCATTAAGCGTATACGCACAACCTCCTACCACCCGATGGCAAATGGTATGGTAGAGAGATTACATCGACAACTGAAGGCATCTCTTACAGCTGTTATTAACAACAATGACTGGGCCAACAAGCTTCCATTAGTCATGTTGAGTTTAAGATCGACGGTTAAAAGAGACATAGGATGTTGCCCTGCAGAGTTAGTTTACGGAACTACCCCACGTCTACCAGGAGAGTTGTTCATCTCAGGTAAGATTGTTCCAGCTGATATAACTAACTACGTACGTCGTCTAAAAGAACACATGAGCGATCTAAGAATAACGCTTCCGCAGGAGAATCAACATCGAGTATATATTCCGAAGCAACTAAGCGATACCACCTATGTATTTATCAGGAGAGATTTTGTGCGACGTCCCTTACAACCAACCTACGATGGTCCTTTTAAAGTTATCGACGGAAACGATAAAACTATCACCGTAGATAAAGCTGGAAAAACGGATGTAGTTAGCATCGACAGAGTCAAACCAGCTTTCATTGAAGGCGAAGAACAGCCAATAAACGCAAACCCATCGAAAGCCATTGAATCACCGAAATGCGAGCTTAAACCCTCTGAAGCAGCAACACAGAAAACAGAAGGAGGCCCACCAACGACCAGATATGGACGAAGAATCAGGTGGCCGCAAAGATATATAGCTACAATTTTGAACTGATAATTCTTCTCACCATTTCGAACACATTTCTTTTGCTTCACATCTGTACGTCGAAAATTTTATATTGGCTATTATTGCCTTCGATACATTTAGTGTATTTCGAAATTGAGATGTAACCTAAAAACATTGCTATACTTTTGTTTGATCTTCTATTCCTTTGCGACCTCACGAACGTATGCGAATAGAGTAACTTTAACTTCCGAAACTTTTGATGTTTTCCGACAATTTTGATTTTTTTTTCTCGCAAACAAAGACATTTTCGTAACCTTGTTTGCTGGAAGGGGGCTATTGTAGTGCCTCCATATATATTTCACTTCTCTCACATCTAACTTGGTTAAGCCCTTTCGATTAATTTCTTTAACCAAGCCATTCGCTTAGTAACAACTTGTATGTACCATTGGTATTTTTTATTATCTGGTTTGTATGAGCTGATATGACTGAGCATTGCTTAACGCCTACGCATATATGCATCCTATTCGCTTTAATATTAATCTCTTAAATACCACGATGACTCAGACATTTTCCTTTGTATATATACGAACATTTTTATCTTATTAATTCATTCGCACATTCGCATATTCGCTCGCTAGTCTGTTTGCCCGGTCTGTCTGTGGTCTGCTGTTATTAATTGTGGTGTGCTACAATAAACGTATACGATACTTGGAATTCATCTTCTGATTTATTAAGCGTCAGACGTCATTTGGATAAGGTAGTCTGAACGAGCTTATTACGAAACGTAAGAACACGCATTAAGCCGGCACACTACAAATTTATTGCCAGTCAGTCAGCGACAAGGTAGAACTTCGTATGTACGTATATCAGTTCGGGTCGCCATACCAAATTAGCACCCGGAGCCGCAATTGTCAATTCAAACAGCATAGTAATAGGGGTAGAAGAAGGATTAGCGGTAATCAATCGGATTAATGATCAAAGATATCATTCAAGATGTATACACCCCAGAGGAATCAGTTTAAAAAATAAAGAAAGTGGGAAGGAAAAACGGTCATCAGGAATACAGAAGATCAGCATATTTGTGAAAACACAAAGAATGAATGCATCTGCGCCATTGCAAACGATTTTAAGCCATGTCATACGGCTTCTCTAATCACTGGTCACTATCACCTGGCGGACCCCAACCAGGTAGTCTACATTTACTAACATGACTTAATCCAGTTGTCAGTTAACTCATACATTTGTGTCATGTTTTGGTTTGGCCGCTCATAGCAGCTGTCTTTCAACGGAATCGTACACCACAAAACATAGCACGACGAGGCAGTCGGTTGTTGGGCATTCGTAACCCATATCCTAACCACATCAACTGATGGAGTTTCACTACTTCATCTATGGACCTTTCATCCTTATCGAGTACTCGATTATCCTAGGATATACAAGCAATGCTTCTCAGATACCGATTATCGAATAATAGTAGCCTACGAATATTCTCTATTCTTACTGGCCATTTGTAAAACCAGTAAATTAAAGCAGAGCGATGTGCTGGACAGTAAACTCATACTTTGGTTAGTGCACGGATATCTCGCCTACGCCATAAGTGACGCAAGTTGCTAAAAGCTAATTGACCCTTCTGTATTCGTGCTGCGATTTCGTCAACCACCTGGCCATCGGCACTGATCAGTCTCCCGAGACAAGTGAAGCGGTCAACAGGCTCAACTGGTTTACTCCCTATCACTAGTTTAGGTACCGATGCAACTCAATCATGAAGCAACATTTTACATTGAGAGGGGGAAGACCACATCCTGATCATGCTTGTATTATTGCTTATTGTTGTCAGAAGACTATGCATTTGTCAGCATCTTCACCAAGTAGAACTACGCAATCGGCATATTCTAAGTCAACAAGCGAGTTTTCTGATAGGAGGTCCAGTCCTGAAAAGTCAGATGAAGACAAAGCATGTCTACGACAAAATTAAGCAAGAATGGAGAAGGTGGACATCCCTGACAGACACCACTTGGAATAATCAATTAGGATGACAGTTCGCCATAAGCTCTAAATAGACTAGTAGTGTTCGAGTAGAGAGAGAGAACCCATACAAAGGTTTGTGTACTTCTTCTATGATGCTGCTTTTATTGACGGACAGTGCCATAGAACCTAATGATCGATCGAAATACATGAAGCATTTTATGAATTCTGATTAATTAACTCAAAACTATCATTTTTACCATAATTATGTAATTGTATTCTCGTCAATTTTTGTTTGTTTAATTTTCGAATTTGTTTTATTCAACACTTTGTGTTGTTTTGATTTGAGTGAAGAGGAAGAGGTTGATTGTTTCTTGGTTCCTGTTACTGTTCTATTCATTGACTTCATGTTAGAAAGTTTCACTTCGGTTTGATTTAATAAGTGTGATAGACCAGCGGAACGTATTCCTTGTAATAATTGTTCACGGGCATATTTTAATTCTGTTGATAAATGTTCAATTTCCGGAGCATTCATTAAAGCTGGAATTAGTGTAGATCGAAGCCAACGTGGACTAGAATGATCATCAACCCCATTAAAATAAAGAGTATTAAGAATAAATATTGACCTCTGTCTAATTAAATAATCAGTCACATTATAATTGTTATGTTTGTTAACTGTCCAATATTGATCAAATACTACTGATCGAGTTGATCAACAGACTATCAATCAGCAATCAACAAACACATTGATACTGATTCAATTTATCAACCAATCAGCAAAATCATAGGTGACCTACGATCAACAAACAGACCAAAAAGGGGATACAATCAAAACAATGGTCCAAACAACGATAGGTTTACGGTCAACAGCAACCAATCAAGATTGAGGTTAGTAGAACAGGCTACAGGTCAAACGTGAAGAAATTCGAATGCTTCCCTGCTATTTGAAGTTTGTGCTGATGATGTTGTTCAGAAGAACAATGAAAGCTTTACAACCAAAATATCCAGCTCAGAGAACAAAACATCTCCATAGACAATGTTTACTGTATATATTGTGGAATACAAAACTTGTGAGTAGAGAGCTAGAGATATTTGACAAGAAGTACTGACTATTCAAGGATAAAGAGTGTCTTTAACTTCAAGGACATTCCTAACGTTTTTGTAGTTTCAACTTGCTTCATCCAAAAAATGTTAACATTAGACTCTTTGGCTCACGAATAAATTATTACACTTTAGTGTAGTCAGCAGTGCAATTCCACTACCAAACTTTTGGCGGATGTCTTCAGTCTTATCTCTCTCCCATGGACCTGAATGGTACGGTAGAATTCAAAAGAAACAAGTTTTTCAGTCAATATAGCTTCATCATATCACAATAGTTGTTAGGTCAGAGATCAACACTTCACTGTGACAACTGTAGTTGAACTTAACCGAAGTAGATAAGGTGAAGTTAGTTTGAGTGAAGTGGAATTCTCTACACATGCTTAAAAACAAGAGTCCTCTGTTTTGTTCTACCAACATTGTTAGGATATTCACCAAATGTTTCAAGAGAATTTTGTAGGTCTAATTCTGCTGATTAATGTCTATTGGTCGTCGTAACTGTCAATGTCACATACTTCAAATATTGTTCCCTATTCGACCTCACTCTATACATGAGCAGTGTCTGTGTTACGTTCGGTATGCTCAAACTATTATGAGTTCACCTTAGTCGAATAACAAGAACAAAACAATGAACCAGCGTTCAGGTAGGCTACTGTGATCTCTTGACCAAATTGAATGAGCAAGAAGTTTTGATAGAGCGTAGAAATTGTATTCTACAAACACCCAGCCAGCACACAATCAATCCAAGAACACAAATCGCGTTTATTTATACTCTATAGAGACGTCCTTGGGACAGTCACAAAAATAACACATTAAAATGGCACAGTAACCAATCACAGCCAAGGATTTTCCTGGTGGGAAATGTGATCTCAAGCTCAACTGACCCGTCCATGAAATAAATCCAAAATAAAGATACTTATAAAGCGAGTTCTGGGGATCTAACATCCCCAACAGTCTAACATTTTATGATCCGGATCTTAAGTCCAGAATCCTTACTCTCTTCTGGACCTCATATTTTCTGGATGCTTGTAGAATACATTTTCTACTTCATTTCAAGTCTTCTCCTTCTACTTATTGAGGTTTGGGACACTCAGATTAGAGTAGCCTGCCATGTTGCCGATTCATCGGTCCTCAATTTCGTTTACCGACTACGGTGAACTCATAATAAATAGTTCAAGCATATCAAGTGACATGGTGAAACTGTCAATCGTAACAAACATGCAAAAATCATACTATACAATGAACAAAGAACATAATTAGAAAATTTATGGAAAACAGACTTCACTTGTAAGAACTTACCGAAATAGATTGACTTCATTCCATTCTGACGGTAAACGACATTTATCAATGTCATCATTACCACTGCGAACATTATTTTGTGTTGCGATTTCATTTAAACAGCTGAGAACATCACTCCATCCTGCAGTGGTACACGCATTCTCATAGTCAGAGGCCTTTTTATCTATCAGCGTAACTTTTTTTGTAAAACTGTGTTCCTGGAAAGAGAAATTGGAGTGAAAAATATATTCTCTGTTTTTGTAATAAGTCACTATGATCGAATAATATGTAGATACACACAAGCATTTCAGAAAAGTCAGTCAGCTAAAACGTAAAACTTCGCATGCATATACATCAGTTCAAGATATACATTCGCTTTTTGTCCGACCGATTTCGCAAAATAACACTTACATTACAAGAAGCCAGGTTAGTTAGTTAGTAAGCCATCTTTGACCACTGCCTGTATCAGTCAGCCAGTAAGTCAGTTAAAACGTAGAACTTCGTACGTAAGTAAATCAGTTCAGGTTTCCATACCACATTAGAACAGAGATGCGTTTGTCTATTCAAATCCCATAGTGGTGGAGATAGTAGAAGTATTACTGGTAATGGAGATTAGGATTCGAAGATATTATTCAAGAAGTTGTCCACTGATGACTATTGTTGCTGTCTTTTCCATCGCTTATGCTTTCGCCAAGCACAACTGTTCGCGATCGTTGCATAGGCTTTTATCAGCCTGCGCTTAAGCTAACTTCGTCCTTCATCATGTTCAGAGTCAGGTGTGATGAGTTTTTGAGCATCCATCAGTTCGGTAGATGCTACTGTGATCCATAGCTTCATCCTAGCAGATATCACTGTTGTTTCCACAGCTTTTTGGATATCATGCCAAGCTACTTCCTGATGGGGATCACTTACATGGTCACTCAACTGTCTTCCTAGTTTTTCCTGAAATGTATTCATAGCTCTGCTGTCATTAAGTAGAACCCTAACAGGTTTCCTTGCGATGTCTATCCTACGTTCGGTAAGTCGCAAACAAATATGCGCTCGCTGTAGAGCATGGTCTGAATCTAGACATGTACTCCAGAAAGAGCGACAGTCGTCGATCGAACATCTCCATTGATGACTGATGACAATGTGATCTAGCTGGGTCCAGACCATGGCCTGTAATAGAGATGATCGATCATATAACGAAAGCGATCTGAAAAGGAGAACAGAAGAGCATTCGTTGACCAGTAAACATCTTTCAAACCTACTCTTAATTCAGCTAATCGTCCTTGTGTAATGTCACAATAATCATTCCATCGACTGATACAAGATTCGATGTACATTTCAAGATTGTCATGATTATTATTCTTGTTATCATTGTCATCATGGATGATATCGTTTGTATAGTTTAAATCCATTTCAAGTATTTCGTCTTCAGTAGCTTTAATATAAATTTCATTGATATGCGTTTTTATTCGATTATTGGTTGATTTTTTCATGAGATTAAACCAATTCGGTCGTGTATTCAGTTGAATTTGTAAATATTTCACATTTCTTTTAAAAGGCAACAAACCAATGAGTAAATTACAAAAATACACCACAGTACAACGTGATGATATGATATTTTGTACAAAAGGTGCAGAAGAAGGATTATGAGATTGATGGTGTTGATCATTGTTACGTATTGCCGATGTTGATGTTGATGATGAAAACGGTGTACAAAATGTTTCTAACCACCATTGTTTATAATTTATCCCAGTTAATCGAAAATCTTCTGAGCATAATTGACGTGCGATGAGTAGAATCGCTATGAATAATTGTTGATTATGTTTATCGATCGCTGATAAATCGGATTGAGTTGTAGGCATGAATAAATCATCTAAATCAATCTGTTTATTGTTGGCATGATTGATACTTGAGTGAAATAATAATAATAAAAGTTGATGAATAATAACTGCATAGTGCAGTGTTTGTATCGTTGATGTGTTTTGTGAAAAAATAATATGATAAAAGAATGATCAGTTAGAGTTAAAATAGAAAAATTAACAATATGAATGAGAAACATCAGCAGTAAGTATACACACCATCCTGTGAGCAGGAATCGAACTCAGGACCATGAATCCAGAATTGACAATGACTATGTACTTAAAAGTGACTAGCTTCACGAGGGGAATCACAGGGTTTTAGTGAGAAACCGTGACCAGCGGAGTTTAATCGTGTCAGTTATGAGGTGGTTACTCACCGAGGACTTTAGTGGTCAGTTAGTTCGTTAGCAGCAACGTAGAACTTTGCACGTACATCAGTTCAAGTTGCCATACTATAGTCACACAGAGAGGTAATTGTGGCCTACAATCTGACTCTATTTTAGACGAACGACTTAATATGCTGTGAAACCAATTTCCTATACAATTTTCAGTTTTCATGCACAGGTGAACATGGTTTGTGAGACGGTAGTAATAGGAAATCAAATACAGATTTAGTTCAGTGAGTGCATTTCATGTAATCGTTGATGCACTGAGAATAAAAAGCGTAAAAACAAAGTGGAGAACGTGAATGAAGCAACTCAATATGATGAGACATGACTAAGTATGTATAGTCAGACAAAAATAGGCTAAACATGTAATAAGCAAAGTAATCGTGCACTGTTACTTACGTCCATTACCCTCAACGAAACATATGCCGCTGAACAGCATTCTCCAACCTACTCTATCTTGGGCCTTCCTTCTTAGTTTTTATCAATCGCTCATCAGTCTCCTCATGCCTGCCTCCGTTTCTCGATGTATTGAGTTTTTCGGCCTCCTTATATCCTTTTGGCCTTGAGGATCCTAGCTGAGGTCTGTGTGTGACCGACCTAAAGCAGCTGTCTCTTGGAATCTGAGGTCACGATAATAGGTCTTTAAAGACCAACGCTAATATACCTTCCTTTTTAGGTTTCGCATGATACACCTACGGCAAGGGCAGCTGGAAAGTGACATCCACCCTCATTCCCGTAACAGCACACGAGAAAATATAGGTCAAATTCACAAATTCATTCCACACATACTTGTATCACGTAAAACAAACTTACATTTAACAGTGGTTACACCTCCTCATAACAGATATCAATTGAAGAATATGAGACCAATTTACACAATCCAAATTATTATTGGATAAAGTGATTAAAAGACGTTCAGATATGAAGTTTAAATCGAATAAAAGAACAAACTGTTGTTGAATTTTTTTAAAAGATAACCAGCGAATAATTTACTTGTATAATAGAATATCGCTGGTATGAATTTATTTCCATTGGAGTTAAATATTCCTTTTGAAAGTATTCATATACTTATTGTTAGTATAAATATATATATATATATATATATTTCTAAGTGTATACTTGAATTGTTTGATTTTGTATGTAGAAACTCTTCGAATAGATTTTCAACAGAATGTTTAATCTCTCCAGTTGTATGAATACTACATAAAAATTTGTAAATCGAATGATGAACTGTTTCCCAATCTAAAGATAAAATAAGAAGAACATGAATAATAAGGAGTGTTTGTTGTGTAGGTGGTACTGAATAATGTACAGCGACATGGTAATGACATTGGACTGGCGTCAGACTTACCACCCTGGAAAGTGACCATAAAGCTAAAGGGACAACTATTTCACGCCGCCCTTTTTATAAAGAGTTAGCGCGTTAGCTCTACTATTCACATGACCTTACTGCAAAAGACTGAAATCCGTAAGGTAAGATAAGGTGTGACATTTTTAGGGTCGACCTTTTCTAACCCCTTCCTTTCATGTGTGGAGGCAGCATCGGTGCTGATGCTAATTTTCCGAGGGAAACACGTTACTGCTGCTACACCCCACTACAGTCAACAGCACGACTTCGTCTTCAGACCTTGAGTGGCTGCTTTTAGTCTCACCGTTCTTCAGTCGATCTTTCTGACATGGTAGAAAGAACAGGAACATATATTCCAGTCAATATGGCTCAGTCGGCTCATTGCGATAGTCAAGCAGCTATGGTCGTGTCAACATTCACAAGCCAGTAGCTGATTTGGCTTATCAAAGTATTTCACTACCGAGTCTTGGAAAATGTTACCTTAGTTGTCTGGTTGTATATACTAATCAAGAAAAATGATTGACACATTGGGTGAACTGTTTGTGCCTGAAGATAATTTTCAACAACACAATATTATAGTGAATAACTTGCAATGATGCAACGCTGAAGAACAAGAGTATCACAAAAACAATTCCATTATTTGTAAACTGATCTTTTTACATACATTACTATGATTAGGTAGAGTTAAATTTTTTGGACAATATGAAACACATTATTGCTCAATTCACAGTTTTTACGAGCATGATCTAGCAAAGCAGATAGCTGAGAAGTGAATTCCTAGCATGCATTACTAAATCTTAACTAAACTTTCGTTCCTTCAGTCAAAAAAACAAGGTTAGAAAGGCTCAAGTATATGTATTCATGCACGTACATGAATACTGAATCAAACAATGTGAAAATAAAGATAAAACATATTTCCTTAACATCCAGACCTTTCAAGCGACATCAAAGAATCAGCTGTGAGTAAAGTAAACCAATTATCGAATATGAAAGTGTAATTTTATAGACCTTGCACAGCTTGCGTGATATTTATGCAAAATAACGCTTAACATCCACAGCCTAGGCAAAGAGGCTGAAATTTTCATGTAATTTCGCCAAAATTTGCATTCCCTTTTTTTCGTAAAAATGGCTTTTATTTCCTCATTCAGACCTAAGTGGGTGTTGGATACGTTCATATATGGATATTTGAATTACAATATCATTCGGCAATAATGTTAAACTGAGACCTGTCGGAAAATGAAACTTGAACATTTTTACCCTGAATACGTCAGTAGTTTCCACTTTGGGCAACTATGAGTTAGTGTAATCATGTCTCTACTTTAACTAAGAGTAGATATTAAGAATAAACAATAACTATCAGAAGAAGCTTGTTTAAAATTTAGTGCAATCATACCTGGTCCATCCCTAATTTCCAGGACATTCATCGCTAAGTTCAGAGGACTCAAAAACGAACAGCCGGCCTGACGACCTTAAATTTTTAATGTTGCCGCTGAAAAATTGTTCACTGTATCTCCGTAGAAAGCCTCAAATAGTCTAATTGATTGTAGACAGAAGGGAAGAGGCCTCCATTAATCAGGCCCTGTTATGTAGCACCATCGGATATCCGATGTCTCAGATCAGGAACATGGGTGAATTTAATGTGCAAAAGAGAAATATAAATTAAACATCCAATGATGAAATGTTGTCTTCGGTGCTTGAGAATATTTCGAGTTTATTGATGAGAGATTCGAAGGATATCACTTCGAATCGCAGGAATCCACTGCTCCTAAAAGCTAGAAAGTGTCTGCAGTTCATTCTACCGTTTTCACTCTAATTTCTGTGTATTTCGTTAATGTTTGTGTTGAGATCGTGTTTAGACAAGTAACTAGTGGAGTAGGGGACATGAGTGTTTATGATGATGTAGGTCACTAGAAAGTCACTATTAAGCAGCCTGAACTCATAAATGTCTGGCTCAGCATGTTGGTTTCTTACTCCTCTCCTATGTTCAATGTGATCAGGAAAAACTAATATCTTATGCGAAACTGGTTGAAAAATGTCATTTGTATGGAGTAAAAAGAGTATTCCTAGTACTGAACTCACCCTAAATGAAATTTCTGTAGTGGTAGGAGACTCGGAGAGAGAAAGTTCGCTATGACTTTCTTAGGTAGGCCATTGAAATATGCAGTGACTTCGTACTTGATTGTATGAACATATTGATGAGATATATGATTGATCATATGAAACCTTTTGAAGGTGTATGACATATTCCTTCTCTATGCAATCAAGAATTGTGGCGAACTTAAAACGAGCCTGCTCAACTTATATTCACTACATGAAGACAACCTGTAATACTTCAATTCAATTAGGTTAGTCAAACAGCAACTAGCCTACTTAAAACCCTGTGTTTTGGGTGAAGAGAAGTTGAGAGATAATAAAAATCGCTCAAAATATCATAAAATAAGTAGCCTGTAACTTCAAGGTGTACTGAAACAAGTTCCACCGATCAGTATATTGGCGTGATGGATACTAGTTTCTAACTATCTGGAACCGTGCCTCAGTTGTGTTGCCAAGTTCTGAGCTGCTTATCGTAGTATAGCAAAGTGAACAAATTGTAGGTCAGAATAAAAGCCTTTTATAAATGATCCATATTCTGATACACCGTTTCAGCGCTCAGATTTATTTTTCAGATGGTTCTAGATTGAATGTGAAGTTGTTGCCGGTGTTTGTTGTATGTGGATCCTTCTACCAGGAGCTCTGCGGCATCACAGTAGTAATTTGTTTAGCCTTTGGGACCGAGGAACCTGAAAACCTCGACTCCGTCCTGTCAAAGAAAGGTGGTGAAACAAAGCTATGGTGTCGACCATAAACTTAAAGACTATTTCAACTGCATATGCAGCCTAATATTTTAGCTCCATTTTATATTGGTTCCTCGCTTGTTCAAACTGCCTATATGCGCTGCCATAACTGTAACCACAGTTCATGTGAAGAACCAGTACTCATTAGGGATTTAGCACTGGTTGTGAACCACTATAAAAGAGATATATGCGCCTTGGTACTCTACCATCTAATGTCCAACACAAACTGTGGCAAAAGTAACTTCCAAGCAAAGCGCGCAATCCGAAAACTGAAGAAAAGTTTTGCTTGTTTTTACCCGTAGAACTTTACATTCGATTGCTAAAAATTTCTCTGAGTCACACTGAGGTTATGAAAATGTAGCCTTTCCTCCCATTGTAATCCTCGATGTTGCTACTGAAAATGTTACAAATCGACCGATTTCAGATTGTCCAGTCAAGGATCCAAACTGAGATTTGGATTGAGGAATGACTTTCCAGG